GTATTTCAAGCCATGTTACTCCCCACTGCATATGGGATTTGTATACTTCTCATTTATAAGGGCTCTTTCACTCCATCAAAAAGAAAAATTAAATTCTGAAACATCTGAATTCAGCAACTCTCAGTTCTTCATGGTAGCTTGCAGGATTCAGTAACAATATTTGCTAAACCATGGGGAAAGTTTCTTACATTAAATTAAAATGCAGTGTAAATACGAATGCACTGGGCAAAGTTCATTTTTAGAAAAGCTCTACTAATCTCAAATGTATGCCAGTCAGTGAATTTGGGCTTACTAGTTTTTGTTCAGCTCATGGCTGACTCAGAGACAACCTTGCTAATAATTTCATAGTAAAATCAGCTTGGACCATTATTTTCAAGGGTCTCTGCAAACATATAACAGGATTTTTTTACACTTAATTAATTTATTAGTTTGTATTTTGTCCTTAGATTTCTAGTCTAATTTATGGGTGTGGTAAAAGGTAACCTTTTATTTCCTAAGCATGCTGGATTCTTAGGATGTGTTTTGGACAATATGGATTTTACCATGCATTAACTTCTGTCTCTATCTTTTGCTAGCATTTTGCCGAATGCACAGTAAAAATAGATGCTCTTTTCCTTACATTAAATGCTCTGAAATAACTTAATTGCTTGAGTATGTTAGAAACAATAACCAGACAGAAAAGCAAAAGCCCTTTACATGTTGTATTGTAGAACCACATGAACAAAGAAACAAATAAAAATTATCACAGCACAAAAATGTAATTAAATGTTCTTCTTTTATTTGTGTCTCCACCCAGGGTGTAAACACACACCGAGGCATTCGTTTATCTCTACAAATCTCTAGCCTCACTATAACAATAATTAAATCCAGACTTAAAACTCTGACCCAAGTGTTCCTTAGAAGAAAGCTTTGAGATTCTTTTTTCTATTTCTGTTTCTAATTATACTAATCCATACAAATACTAGTAGTTTTATGGTGAAGGACAATGGCTGGAGCAGTCCTTTTTAAAGGCATCTCACAAGACATTCTACTGGTCATGTCATTGAGTTATAATTTTCCAGTTTTATTTTGTACCATGCACATACACCTTTCAATTTTACCTTTTACATAAAAAAGAAATTTATGAAACAGGACAAAAATAACTTATGATTACATGAAAAATAACTGTAACAAATCACAGAATTATACATACTAGTAGAGAAAAAAGTGTAACTAATTCTTTTGAAAATTTATTTTTCATGGTATGCAACAGATATGTTTTTAGAGCAAATATCAGCCAGATATACAGTATGGCAAATGGAGTTCATATGTGTATATGTAAGCATGTATAAATACGTAGAATACTCTGTAAGGTTTAGGAAAAACATACTCCCACGTTCTTTCCTCAACAAAGTGCTTTGTGTAAAATTATTACACAAGATGCTGCTTTCTGTACTGAATAAGGGGATTTTTTTTTTCTTTTTCTTAAATAAAACCCCACTCAGCTAATTTTAAATTGTGGTTTTTTTCTTTTGCTTTATCTGTTCCTAGGAAATATAAAAAAAAAGCAAACAAAAAGCCCCCCCCAAAACCAACAACAAATCCAAACACAAACTCCCAAACAAAATTTCACACAAAGAACAAAAAAGTGCTGCTTAAAAAAAATCTGCTATAAAATTACACAGGGAAAACAGGGAATAAACAGTTAAAATGTAATTTTTATACTCATTCACACCTCTTCAAAGAAAGTTGAAAACAAAATACAATGTAACAGATGGCCATAGCATTGCAATACTTCAGCATCTGGTATTAGTAAACCATAATGCCTATATGTATGTGTGTATATATACATGCATATATATATATATATATGTAGAAAGAGATCCAAATACACACATGCACTCTCATACACTCACACATGTACACATGCACTTTGAAACTATTTTAAACTCCAGTGTAGAACATTTCTAATGCAGACATAAATAGACCATTTGAGTCTGAAAACAAGAGAATTGTATAAAAGAATGATTGTAAATAATTTTGTTAGAATATTGTTTAATGCCCATAGTCTAAAATAACTTCATCTCTTAGATATGAATCCCTTTAGAAAGTTAACAATCCAGCAAGTAGAATAACAACACAAAAATCACTGAGGCACAACTATTAGCATATAAGTCAGTAACTAGCATTACGCTATGTATTTTCACAGGCACCATTTTTCATTGTAACATGTGATAAACATGATTCCTTATTTAAATATCTAAAATACATGAGATAAAATGGTTCTTTTTTATACAATTGCTTATATCAGTGATATAAGCTTATCCCCCAAAGTCAGTCTGACTCCAAAGAGAATAATGAAATAATCACGAAGAATCCTCTTTGTCTTTGATACAGAAGTAAACAAAGGCGTACCTTTTTACAGACTGGTAGCCCACTCTCATGTGCTTAATTTGACTGTACTCTAGCTCCTTCTTTTTAAGATTAAGGCTTATAGAACGCTGTAAATATATATATATATATATATATAAAATATGTATATATATGAAAGAAAGAATGAATGACTTGCAAAAGTTTCCTTTTTTAAATGTAACTGATGAACCCCCACATTATGAATACTCTTTTTGAATTCTGCATTCCCACCTTCCCTTTGGTCAGAATCTTTCAGGTGTATAAGCCCCCTCTCTACTGGACAGCTTGTACATTCAGATACTAGAAAAAATATTTCAAAATATTTAAAAGTCAAAGCGGTACAGATCTGAAGTCAGCAGAGTATTTCAGTTTTGTGCACAGCAAATGACAAATTCTGGACAACCATGTGGTTAAAAGAAGCTTGAAGGATTTATAAATACAAAAGTATGTATGTACATATACATGCATATGTACACATTGGGCCTGATCCTGCCCTCACTGACTTCGGTGGAACAAAACATAGTCCTACACATTTGAAACTGAAGTGTTCAGCATGCCTAATTACTCCTGCTGAACCAAGTTAGGCATGTGCAGTGACCACAGAATGGGCTTTAAGATAGCACAAAATTAAAACTTTATTAAAAAGCAAAACTCACTGACAATGCACTGGGCCGGATCATACATTAATGCAAAAGGACTGTCTTTTTGCCTGTGTATGTATAGCTGTGTAGAGAAGCCTGATGTCATGTAACTCAATGCAAACTACATATAGTAACAACTAGACCTACTATTGCAAGCTGAAGCAGAGGGACACATTCATTGTGATGTGAGAAGCAGAATAAAAGTGGGAAGAATTTAGTACAGAATTATCTGTGTTTAAGCCATATTACTTCATTTGCACATCATTTATGTGCAAGGTTTATCCATATATTCTTTGCATGTATTGGATAAAAAACTCTCCATTAAACATATAAGCACATATGCCTGTATATAAGCATATACTTCATGAATATAAACCTACAAAGATTGCCAGTGTTTATAAACAACTGGACATACATTCATCTATGCAACATAATCACAAATTAAATTATGAATTTGACCCAAACTGCATTCAACAACTCTCAAAAGCTTGTCAGGATAAAAAAATGTTTGTATAAACATTTTTTTTAAATTCATCTTTCTAGACAACTCATTTCAGAAGCATAGTTATGGTCTAGCCTGTAAGAATGAACTTTGGATTTTTGTCCTTCTTATTATATCATGTCATGAGAATATTAAGATGCACACTACACAGTAAGAAGTCCACAAATGGATGAGCAGGGATTAATAACCTAAAAACTCAGTCTTACATAATGTAAGGGTTGTTCCCAAGGTATATAGGATCATAGTGATGACACTTCTCCACTGCAAAATACTGTTTTTAATTCATACCCTTTTACCTTTCATGAAGGGCAACCTCATTTGCTTGCATCCTGGACTAAATTCAAGGTCCAGAGCCTGTCATTGAGTAGAAAAATCAAACCCACCAAACCAGTTCAGTTTTACATCTCTAAATAACCAGAGGGAACATAGCAAACTTAAAGAGTAGCTCTTCTTCCTGAAAATGTGTTATGGAACTGAAAAATGTTAGGGCAACAAAATTTTAATTGAATCAGTACAGATTGCTTTTAAAAAAATCTGTGGAATTTAAGGAATAATCTTGTCTACAGGGTATTTTAAACCTTCCTGCAGAGTACTATAGCACATACAGCAATAAAGCTTTACAATATAATTAAAAATCAACAGAAAGTTAAAACACACTTATTCTTATCTAGCCGCTGTGCTAAATATAGATAAAGTCCATGTACCTTCTCATGTAGTGCACTTAACCCTTCTTATTCATGGCATAAAGCACTGGGTCAGAAAAAATATTGGAAAAATAGCAATGGCCATATTGTATGGCTTAAAATACAGAGGGAAGGAACAGACACCTAAACCGAGGCCTGTAAGAAATTCAGTACCAATGATCTTTGGCTCCAAAAAGAAGCCACACCAATGCCTCCAATGGGTAGTGCCAGGATGTATGTCTAATTTCTCTCCCTTTTTGATGCTGGTGTGTGTTTAACTTTGGAAGCATCACATGTGAACAAGTTGTGCAAAAAGCTGTGTACCTTTGAAATGTTTGCAGTATGCTCTGGTTTTACTTCTTTTCCTTTTTTTTTAAAAAAGGAATTTTCTAAAGCTGTGTTCTTCAGTAAGTCCACGCATTCAGCTTGAAAGGATTACAGCCAACAAGCAGTTGCCTTATTCAGTTTGTGAATTCCCTTTGAGAAATTAAAAAGAAGAAAGAACAAAAAAAAGTAGAGTTGCTGTGCCACAGATGAAAAGAAAATAAACAGTTGCTAAGCTTTTGGCAAAGCTTGCTTTCTCCGAACCTTCTCCTTCTCAGTTGACTGCTTGATTACATGATGAATGCTCAGTGATGGCTTTTTTCCTCTCCATTATGTATGTATATCAACCCATATCCCCATACATACATGGCAGTTTCATGGAGAGAAAAATTTTGTAGAGAAATATCAGATGGGCAAGATGAAATGGAATAAAGTTCTTGTAACTAGATTTATATTGCTTTAGCCTTCAGTGTAGACAGAAGAAAGCTGGCTAGAACAATGATCCACCGCATTTATTTGTAGGAAACTGCTATCCTCTGGGATGCTGCGAGCTGAATCACCAAAGGTACCCGTGGACCCTGCTGGAAAGTCATAAACTGGAAAAAATACAAAAATAATTAATTAACTAGGATAACTATATCATGGAGAATGTCCTAATACTTATGCACAGAACTGGAAATGGCTTTAAACTGAATAGACAAACAAAACAAACAAGACAACATATGTATGACATTAATAATTACATAACTTACTGCTTACCAAGGGATAAATTTCAGTTCTGGCAGAATCAAGTCTGAAGTACAGCGAATTTCATCACAGCTAACACTTGCCCATTTAATGGGTGCTAAATTTGTCATAATTTTAAAAATAAACTTCATGCTTGCTTATGAAATTTCATCATACCCAACATATGGTAAGAGCCAATAAAGTATTGTAAAGCAGACCCTGGAGCAGAAATTACTAACTTCTACAAGTGATAGCAGTAAGCACAAGAGTAACTGTTTGCAGAAAAACTTCCATCATTTGGATTACATCTTTACATACCGTGAGACGCCTGTTAGAAGTTACAGGTGCATTGGCTTTTTAATGCAATACTGAAAGACCAAGATGTAAAAGAGATTTCAAAGCACAATAAATGTTAAGTGAAATCATCCTGTGTGGGAGGACAATAAAAGACTTGGGCATCAATTGTGCTTAGGCCCTAAGATTAGGCCCACTCTTTTGTGCTGATCCTCCACACAGAGGTAACTTCCACCATTCCAGAGCAGCATGCAAGCCCTGTATGTAGTTTTCAGCTAGGCAAAGACTAAGTCAAGTGTGCGCAGAAAAGCGTGCACCCAGGCAGTTCTTATCACGGAATGTGAATAAATAAAATTCAAGACTAAGAAAAATCAAACACACATAAAGCAAAATCAGCTGTTTGAATCATCCTGGGTACCTGCTACAATACTACAGCAGAGTGTAGTGGCTGGGCAAATATCACACAGGGCTCAATGGACTGTATTACAAAGAAAATACATGAGCTAGTGACTGTCTGAGCCCCAGAGGTTAGTACCCTGACAAGCCCTCGCCAATGTGCAGTCTGCACAGAGGCCAGATGTTACTGTGACCCATGGTGATCGGGTCCCAAGGCCAGCTACTCCACAAAGGTCTGAAAAACATCTTCTCTTTGTGAAGAGTCAAGCCTGTCATGACAGGTCCCAGTCACATACGCAGCTCAAGCAGATCTGTCAAAGTCCACAAACTGTACACAACCATCCACGAAGTCCCCAGCTGTCATTTACCTGTAATACCTGAATGAGCTGAAAAAGTTCGATGGAAAATGCCAAGCCCTGTGTGGCCTGCTGATGTGGGAGCTAAGCAGTCTTCAAAAGGAGGAACCACATTGCAAGAAACACCATGTTGTACATTCTTCTGAGTGTCACCATAATGTGGAGGGCAGAAAGTCTGAAGTTGCCCATAAAAACCTACAACAAGGAGAAGAAAGTGGTCAGTAAGAGACTTGGACAGAGTTACAAGAGATAGCATGTCAACTGTGGCCATGAGAATGATAAAAACCTTGACTGCAGTAGCACCGGGACTTCAATTATTTTCCACCAATAAAGCAGCTTTGATATGAAGCTCCCTAAGACTTGCTCCAGTTGCTACTAATTCCAAAGACAATCTGCTACATGGACATCCTGATTCCAGCATGACTTGTGAGAGGCACTGACTGGCTAGAAGCTGAAATTTTTCAGAAAATTTCTCCCTTTATTCTGCAGTCCTGCTGTCTGAACTGGTACCCTCCAGATTTCACACTGGGCTGCTGCCTGAAAAATCTAAGAAAATGCTTAATTCAAAATAAATGAAGTTTACCCAAGTAAGGTCTGAATAAAATCTGAGGGTCTGTCACTGATGCCAAGACAGCTGGCTAATAGCGGGGAGATACATATGAGACTCAGAAGGGTGGTTAGGTGATGATCCATGGGGCCTGCCCATTGTAAGCACAGGGTGAGAGTCTAACCCACTCATTGGTAGCGATGAGTCCACATGGAAGAGAACAAAGACCACTGTGTTACATGACATAAAAGATCCCCATCAGTTTTTTTTTTCAGTTGTTTTTTGTTCCTTAAGTGATATTGGAGAGAGGCATATAAGCACTGAGTAAATTCACATTGAAGTGCACGCCAAAATATGTACTTATATAACTAAAACCACTCGTCTTGGTAAAACAGGGTCATGTATGCAATCTAAGAGGCACAAACAGATGTTCTGCAGTAGGCTGGCCTGAATATTTTTCTCATGGAAGCAAGGTCTTTTCTCCTCCTTAAAAAATTGCTAAGTCTAAGCTTTGGAGATTTTGCTCAGAGTCTGAAGGTTGGCTTTTACAGGTATAAGACTCTGGTATGCATTTAGTTCTGTTTTCTGTAGTATATTCTTAGAGTACATGTCACAAATGAAACCATTATAAATTCAGTATTACAATATATACATATTTTCCTTTTAAGAAAAACTGTGAATCAAGCTCCTCTGCCACTGCTTTGGCTCCTTGTTCTCACCACTCTCCTTTCATGCATAAAGGAAAAAGACAGTGCATTACCTCTAAGGTGTTATATAGAAATTGTAGGCCTAGGAGTGATACAGTCTCTGACGATTTTATTAGCAAACAGCTTATTGCCTAAGGGCCGGTGTGCTATTCTCCTAATGAAGAATATGTTGTGTTAAGTCATAACAAAAAGCCACTGTCACAAAAATGAGCCCCTACCTCAGAGAGTATCTTAAGGAATTTTCTGTGTCTCAAGTTTATTCCAGAGACATTACTGTCAATAAAAAAAGCTGATGTGCAGGGCTGGCTCCTCTAGCCAGTCTAGTTAACCAACATCCATATGATAAAGTCCTTCCAGCTGAATTTCCTTTTAGTGTAGAAAGATCAATAAAAAGAAACAACAGAACCTTGCCTAAACCCTTAAAACATCAACATCAGAAAACAAGGAAAAAAGGTGAAAAGACAGATTGAAAAACATCTTTTAATGCATCTTCTATATATAAACTCTGTACTGCTGATACTGGCTTACAATTCAAGAACTTAAATGACTCCCCTCTCCTTAGGCATCTGTTTATTTTCTTGCGGATATTACAAAAAAGGAGGAAACCTTGTTACTTTCAGTGATAATAAGTGTTCACAGATTTGACTTCAAAGAGCATTTAGTAATAGGAAAGAATAAAGAATCCTAATCTGGATAGTTACAGGGACAGCCAGCTCAATTTCGTCCTTCCACATGTTCAGAAATTAGCCTCAGTACATCCATACTGTGTACTTAGGAAAGCATATTTATACCAGACATTCAGCTTTCATGCCTGGGATCTACTGATGTCCATGAGCAGCAACAAACCATGAGCAGTAAGCAAATTAGTTGACAGGATTAAAAACTCATCTCCCTCCCTAAAGGTAATGGGATGTTTGGGTGAGCAGCATGTGACAAAAGGCCTTTGGGTACCATTTAACAGTTCAATAGGAGATTATAAGCAGAGAAGATCCTTTTATGGGAAGTATGAAACTTGGAATCCGAACCCATTGATATTTGAGAGGGCGATGTCTAAATATCTTGGGTATTATATGATACCTGAACATAACTATTGGCCTATTCATTCATTACTAGTAATTAGAAATGCCTTGCATGGGGCATCTAGTTTTGACTTATGAATAAAAAGTATATTAAAAATAAAAAGAATTATATTGGTGCAGTTCTGCACCCCAACCCAACCCAACCTTCCAACGTCAAATCCCTTTACAGTGATAGTCTATGGTTAGAAACATGTTATGAACATAAGGCATTTGGCAAACTTTTTCTGGATTGTGGCTAGGAGCTAGGTGTATTTCCATTAACTTTCCTATGGAATTGTGCACATGGGACCGTTGTTTGCTAAATCTTCACCGAGTGTGTATGTACAGATAGTGCATTTCATAAATAATAGGGATGGAGAAAAGAGAAGGATGCACTGGAAAACATGCTATATCACTTTGTGCGATATAACTGATTTTCTGCCAAGCAAGAGGAAGGATGCATGATTTAGGAGTTTCACGATTCTGATTATTTTTCCTTTGAGACTAATTTCTGTGGTCTCCGTGAAGCAACATACGAATGTTGGCATGCATAAGATGTGCTTGAATTCAAACAGAAAACTCAATATTTAAAAGCATGAGAATAGGCCAGGACTATGGACAGAAAAAGACAGTCTGAACTTGCACCTGGGAACTCAGAAGAGACCTAATGGGGAGGTCTAGGTAACAATGGTGAGTGAATGGTCTTTGTGTTTTATTTAGTAGTCCTGCAAGACACTTCTGTGTGCACACAATGAGATAAATGCCGAATTTTCACATACATAATGAAAGTTTAGATCAGGCAAATAGTGACATGAAAGAACACTGAAATACTTGTCAGTGTTGTGTCTGAAAACTTGCATGCAAAAAGAGTATTTAACTTCACATAAAAGAAGGGGGGGGGGGGAGAAAGAAAAATAAAAAGCAGAAACACTCTTCCTCTTGCACAGCAGGCACAAGTTGCAGACTCTGCTCACTCTAGGGAGGCTGAACACTCACAGATTTCATTGTCTTTTGCAGGGGCTGCGGGCACTTTGCAGCCTAGCTGCAAGATGACCCTTTCAAATCTTTTTTTTCTTTTAAAGTTTAACTGCAACAAAACTGAGTCAGACTGCAAAGCATGTTAGGAATTTACAACCTGGCAATCCTTAAATGTTTAGTCCTGACATTTAAGAATCAGCTGCAGTAAAATAAAATAAAATGAAAGAAAAAACAATAGCCATCCAAAACTTGACTTAGAAGCTACATAGCTATTGACAGTTTTTGCCTCCTTTAAAAATGCTTTTAAAAGAAACTTTTCTCTCAACCAGCAATAAGACACACTGTGCAAGTTTACTGTTGAGTCAGACTAGTTACCAGAAACAACCATTTCACCCTATAGCGGTCTAAGCCAGCTGGTGAGACCTTTCAAAACACATGCTGAGATGTCCTTTCACGTTGCTCTGTGCTCATTCACTATTTGTGCCTTTCTCACAGCATCCTGTTCCCCACGCAGAATGATCTGGCGGTAACTTAAACTACTGCTCCCTGAAATCTGCCAGAAAAACTACTTATCTTGGGGTTGAGCTACTGTAAGTCACATCCTCTGTGTTTGCTCATTCCCTACCTAAGCAAAAGAATATTGTCTAGCAAAGTCTTACAAGCTTTGACCCATTGGTACCTTAACCACTATCTTGCAGAAAGAACATGGGAAGTGCACAAAGCACTTAATCATTAACTGATGAACCCCCAAATAATCTTTTTAAGATGGAAAGAGAGCACAGAAAAATAATTCAACTTTCCTAGATACATGTTCTGCTCACAATTCAGTGTCATAAATATCCATCTTACAAAACGGAGAGCCATAAACAGGAAAGAGTAGAACAGAGCATATATTGCTCTCTTCGCCTCAGTTATTTAGCACTATTCTAAATGTCTTTGTCCACGTCTGTAGTGCATCAGGTCACAGTGCAGAGGTCTTTGAACTGGAGCCCAAACATGATACAGCAAAATCTCCTAGCTTGGTATCAGGAGCTCTTCCCTTTATTCACACGGTGCCATGCCCAAGAAAATCTGCACTACTGCTGAATGTAGGATAACATGGAAACATATGCAATTCAAGCCCTAGACCCTGACCATAGCTGGCCCCTCATTTGAGATTATCTGTTAGAGAACTACCTGTAGCATCAGTTTTCTGTGTTTTCATGCAGCACTGGAAAAATTAAAACGGCAAACAGGTTGGCTGATGAAGTTCCGGCAAATGAACATTTCTTCTCAGGACTGCAACTCTGGATTGTATCAGTTCCTCTCTTATTAAACTATTTAAAACACACATATGCACAAGGTTACGTCAATTGTGTTTCTTTGAATCACTACACTATAGCCAAGATCCATGATGTCAAGATACAGAATAAACAGTTACTTCTCTGGCATGACAGCATTATTTCCTGAGGAAAGTGAAATACTTAAAATATGATAAAATAGCTGTATACTGCAAGAATCTCTTCTAAAAGCAAGAAACTCTTGCTCTTTATCACATACAGAGCCTCATCCTGAAAGATGCTGAGCATCTGAAAATCCCAGGTACATAACCCATCTCAAATTCACAGCTGAAATCATGGTCCACATAAGTTTGTGACAGAGTCCTGATCCCATTGAACTGATGTGGACAAAGACTTCATTACAGACGTGTAATGCATGATTGCCACAGTTATCATTTCCATAAGGTAGGAAGTTTCTGATGGACATTTATTTCCTCCTCAGTCAGCTCTCTGCCTGGCACCACAAAGAGAGAATATTTCTCAAGAAAATCATTATAACTGCTATTAAAAAATATACATCATGGCTGAGTAGTCTTTACTGCTGTAGTATATAAGAATTCCAGCTGGTTTAGGCCTGAACTCACTGTGAAGGAGGAGTTTCTATTGCTGTTCTTTTCTTTCCTATCTCACACATCTCTTCTGACTTGTCTCAAAGAAATACCTTATTCTTGCAGCTGCCTGTGTGCTGCAGATGCCCATGACTTCAGGTACCTCTGCTGAGATGCCTGCAGTCGTTCTTGGCTGTAAAGACTCACCAGTACAATACAGGTCCCAGGCCAATCGTTGCAGATTTCCAGGACCTGTACTGTCTTCTATTCTGCCTACAAATACATAGTACAATAGTGTACAATGGTGTCAAGCTGGGAAGTCGTCAATCCAGTCTCCCATCCAGGAGAGTTTCAGATTTACTGACTATGGTAATCCAATAAAAGATACTACCGTCTAATGAAAGGGGAAAAAACCCCTCCACTTCTGGAGCTCAGTGAGTCATCTAACATCATGACTTCCAAACATCCCATGCAGCAAAGGAAACTGTGAATTTCACAAAAGGAAGGTAAGGGAATATTTAGTCTATTATATAATATTATCCAAGGCAATAAAAAGCCCTCAGATATTACTGTGTATCTGATGCTGAAAATCACTCAGAACAAGTAATGAAATCTGGACAGTAGACAACTTTCTTCCAAGACGAAGCAGTTTCACAATACAAGTAGCTATTAGATGTAAGAGGCTTGTCAGTCTTGGATCTCCTATGTAATTTCTTTCTAAAGGATAGTGCTCTGAAGTCTCCGTGAGCTTTTAAGATGCTTAGGCTTTCAGGAAGGGAGTTTGTTTAGAACTTGTTTTCTTCAAAAAGCTTTTGGGCAATGAAACTCTTTCTTCCTCAGTACAGCCAATTTAAATGGATTTGACAAGTTTAAGACTACACATTGAGACAAAAATGTCACCATTGTTTGGTAGCGGACTGAGCTGAAGTGGCTATAGCTACAGCACTTTAAGTAATGAAAAGGCAGGTTATGAACTGCAGGAGACAGAAATTAACAGAGCTTCGCACAGACACTTCTTATATACCAAATAGTCCAGACTTGTGAGATAACTCTGTGGTGTTTTTCTACATTATAATGATGTGACCAAGGAAGATGGTAATCTTTGTATTGCTGCTGGGAAAACATGACCATGAACTCTTGAAACATTTGCTTTTCAGAGAGAGAGTTTAGGCAAGATTTTCAGGCACACAGGACAAACAAAGCTTTCAGTGTAGCACATAGAAGTGAGACAGCTGTGAGGGAGTACATTCTGACAAAATACCTCTTATAGTGACAATAGGCTATTTAATCTTTGAAAGAACATTTAATACCCAAATGTAGCTATTGTATTGCAATGTATTATATCTTTCAATACTAAAAAAAAAAAAAAAAAAGAAAAATATTAGAGTCCAGCCTGCATTGTCTTCCTACCTAGTTTTAAGTGCAGAGTTCTTTACAATTGCAACTTTGAGTTGCTATCTATGTGTATATAATTCCTGTCAGCAATGTCTATTTTCAACATAGGATTTCCTAGGACAGGTAGACAAACACACTAATGCTAATAGGGGACTAAGTAAGGTATGAGTTAAGGTCCCAGCCCTTGAGGTTATCCATTTTTTGATCCACTGAGAAGATAGTATTAAGCTTTATCTTAAATTTGGATGTGGAGTGGGGCTTCAGCCCACATGTGACATCCACCCAGGTGAGGGTCTCTATTGGGCCTTCCTCTTATAACGGTTTTAATGATGCATGTCTTTTGTCCTTTTAAATCCTCTTTGGACTGTAGGAGGGGGAGATGGGAACACAGTAGCATCACTCTGGCCTGCCCTAAAGAGAAGATGCCCAAGCAGATATGGAGCTAGCTGCACCAGCCAGTGCAAGTCCTGTGTGTAGCAGTAACTAATCTGAGGTGATCTCTGAGCCTCTGGGAGGCACGATTCTTTGGAAACTGTTCAACTTTGGAGCAACTGGTTGTGATCCCAGATTCTGCAATTACTGAAGATCCCATGACCTTGAAAGGAAGAGGTTGGTAAAGCCATCTATGCACTCAAAGACAATTTTTGTTTCAGGCAAGAAGACAGACCTTAATGTCTGGACGCCTTTCTGGAAGACGAGTTCTTGCCAAATATTCAGCAAAAAAGGAAATTGAGTAAAATGTATTGTCCTGTGGAAATAGGAAGGCTAACCTGATCCCTTCATGCCCTATATGCTAGAAATTTATTGGACCCACACTGGCATGTCTTTGCATATGTCATATGACAATGAACAGTATATGAAAAAATTTCATCCTGTACTCTGTTGGCCCTAAATTATTAGTGACACTTCAATCAGAGAATAGAGAAAGCCAACAATAACTGTTTACATCCTTTGGTAAATTGCATATTCTTCTAGTACTGATGACAGCTCTACAGGATTACCAGTTCTTGGAAGAAAAGCACCTGGCTCAGATCCTGCTCACATGTGGTCTAGTATGATAAGAAGAACAAAACAGGACTGCCACCTTCCTTTCTCCCCTTCACACTCATGAACTCTGGGAGATGACTCAGTGTCCTCTCTCATCCCTTTGACTAGAGAGATGGCTTCCATCAGTGCAAGAAAATAAAAGAAGCTTTAGTTTTCTCAAGATGTTTCCTATGATATCTACTATGATAATTCTCAGGAAGCCTGATCAAAAAGCAGAATCCCAAGGCCTACAAAAGTCCATTATGCTATGTACCTTGTGTATGTAAATATGGCAAACCATATATTTAAACTGTTGAGAGGAAACAGCATTACTGCTGTCAACACATTTCTGAAATGTTAAGGTAATTACCATTCAGACTCCATACCAGCTAGAAAAAAAAACCCCAAAGAACCCAACATTGTTTTCAGCTGCTGTTAATTTTCTTCTTGGCTACAGAAGTTTATATTTGATTGAACAAAGAGGGAGAGAGAAGTCTTGTCAAAGCTGTTTACACCGCACAAGTGGGAACACAGCTGTAAAAGACATCTATGCTTATAAACAAAGAGGTCTCCATCATTCCACAAGTGCAAGGGAGAAAAATATTACACCTCTTGAAAACCTGGTAACACTTTATGTGTAAAGTCAGGTGGGATTAGAAGCATAGCATTAGAAAATGAAAAGCAGAGGCCATCACAGAATTATTTGCAGTTCTATTTCTACAACAGCTCTGAAAATCAGTCTGAAGAGAAACCCGTAACTCCATAGTAAGATGAATAACAATTAGCTAAGCTAAGAATTTTAAGGAAGTCTGAAGGCAGAGTGTTGAAGGCCAGAGACTTTCAAAAGGAAAGGTGCCTTAAAAATACAAGCACCAGCCTTTGAAGCACTTAATTTGAAACCAAGCAGCAGTGATAAACAACTAACATCAGTGATGAAGATTCTTCTTTCTTACCTTGGATGTGGAGGCTATTTGGTTGAAAAGAAGGGTTTGCTGCTGGCTGGTATGCCTTCAGAGGGATTCCTGCAGGCTGTTGAAGGTGGGGAGGTTGTGGAGTCCGTCTCTGCATCATGTGATGGGGAACTGAAATTCTCTGGGGGCTGACGTGGTGAGGAGAAGGAGCCGGAGCAACAAACCTAGGAGTTCAGAAACACAAACTGTAAAATCCCCAGTAGATAAGAGCTAAAGGTTGTTTCTATTTTACTTGGATCACTATAATGTTTAGCAGTTTGCATAGATACAGACTTCCAAAACAACAGTGTGCAGCCCAGATACAAAGAAGACACATTTTCAAATGGTGACATATCATTAGATTGGACAACTGGGAAATTAAAAGGCTGAATTGCACCCTTATAATGGAAAACTCCTTTTAACTTCTGTGGGTGGGTTTAAATCTTAGTGGGAGGACATACCTCACGTGGATTTGATTTCTGAGGCACTGCCAGCTGTCTCATTGTAAGGCTTTGTATCAACTGTATCTGTCAATACATAGCTGTCCTTCCTCACTGGAAGTGAGCAGTCAGTTCTGGTCATTGGACCTTGAGGAGTTAGATATTAGGTTCAGGTCCAGGTTCAGGTTTCAAGTTCTAAAAATCTTTGTATGTTACACAGAGCTATTTGGAAATAAACAACTGAAGTCAATATAATGTATATAAAGGCACAGGTTAAATCGGTTCCAGTTGGACAGAGTCTGACCACATCAAAACTTTGATCTGGACTCAAAGTATAAACTTACGAGCTTGGCAGAGGAGGAGAACCATTCAGACTGAACCTGGTGGTGCAGCTGCCACAGAGGTTCATCACTTCAGTGGTATGTTTTGCACAGCTGTCACTATTGGCACTACAAGGATACAAACTACTTTGAGGTTTTTATACAAGGGTTTTACATACAGACTAAGTTTAACTTTTTTCTACATTTCCTTAATATTGCATATCCCAAAGTACATTACAAATAGGTGCTACAGTCATTTTCACAGATGGAAAGCTGAGGTTATAAGAGCTCTGGTCCATACCCCTGATGACCAAACTACCCACTAGAAACAATGGGATCTGATTAGTAAATGAAAGCTCAGCCTGGGCTCAGGAATAGCTCAGGGCCTCTCATCCATGAGAGGAGAGCCGGGAAGGCCAGCAAAAAAAAGCCAGGATATTTCTGCAAGAAGGTGCATGAAAACTGATGTGGTATTCTTGTCACAGATCAGCCTCTCTCTCCACTCCTAAAAGCAAGCTGCACGTCTGTGTCAAGCAAGAGCACCCACCTACCCTTCTCTGTGGTGGGGGTGCGTGGTACCTGCTGCTAGGAGGGATTAGTGCTTGCAGTTAACACAGTCTGCCAGGATCCTAAAGCATGAGTCTGGTCCCTGTTCTCCTGAAACTGGACCTCAATACAGTAAATGACTTTTTTTTAACCTAGCAATAAGAATGTTTTTCCTGCAGAAGTGTAAGGAAGCTGTAATCTCACCCTGAACACAACAGCAGGTGCAACTGTGGTAGTAGCTCTACAGAACACCTCTGGACAGGGTCATCATACAGGTTATAACCGCATTTAAATCCAAGACACCTGAGCTCTTCTATGCTGCAGCTCAGAATCAGTATTTGCCACACATTATCTGTGTGATTTTGACATAATTCGAAACCTGTATTTAGTACATTTCTGGTAGATCCATAATTTACTTTTGGAGTACAGCAAGTGTCAAGATGAACTTTGGATGATTTACTGCCTATTCAGTTTTCTTTGAGAACTGCATTTTTAGGCATATTAGATAGGGTTTGGATGGCCTTTGTGCTGATTTCATATTAACATCATAAACACATTCATTACTTCATATATGCTATATAGATGGAGAAAATAAAGATGTCACTACTGAGTCATTGAGTCCTTAATGTGTCAAATATTTTATTGTTCCAGATAACTGATGCAGTGTAGACTTAAAGACATACTAGGGAGGAAGAGAATAGAACAAGCCTATGTTTCACAATAATACTAGACAGTAATTTTTTAAAAAAGAAAAGTCAGTAGCTATATAGTGATAAAAATATCAGAGGTTTTTAAAAAGTGCTACAACTACCTGGTTATATGTCTCCTGAGTAAGGACTGGAGTTAGTTTTTTGTATAGAGCTCACATGGAAAGACTGTTATTTGCTGCCAGAGATTAAAAGCAATGTACAGTCTTTTATTACTACTATTATTTAAAAAATCATGGGAAATCATCCTCTGTGTTTGCAAAGTTCATTTGTGAAAATTAATCTCTGAAAAATGTTTTTAATCGGCAGTGAACAACAGGGAAAAAATCCTTTTCAAAACACAAAGTGAAAAGCACAGTTTTAAAGATTTCATATTTGATTTAACATCCAAAAACCCCTCCCAGTAATAATGCACTACTTTGTATCGATAGAAAGACAGGACTCCTTTTTAGTAGACTTTAGTGGTCTTCATAATGATTTATGAATCACTTCATGAATTCCTGGCTTACTTATATGGGTGACTATAGTTATCTACTTTTAGTTCCCTTCTGCCTAACAAAAGAGAAACTTGGACTTGTCTTAGTCCGGATTTGTCCCTGAACAAATCATAGTGTGTTACTGGGGGAATTGCAAATTTAATTTTGTTCCTGAAACAATCAGGACCAGCTTGTAACCACTTGGAAACTGGCATCAAGAATTGGAGCCAATGCAATCAGGAACCAGCCAGATTTGCAGAAAGGTGCCTTTCCCTATGCTTGCTGGGCACAAAATCAGAGCAAGAACATTTCCAGAGCCATCAAGTAGCCTCTCCCTTTCCAACAGTAGCTAGGAAAAAGTGTCCTGCTGGGGAATGACTAGATATGGCAGTAAGCAAGATAGATGACAAAGTTACCAAAGCTTACCTGGTTTGATGAGCTAGTTAAAATGGCACATAAATAGGGTTTTTGTTAATAACCAGTACTGGTCATGGCTACGTGGAAAAAAAGATTTTACTCTAGCATTTGTTAACTGGAGCTGGCCCAAATGTAAACTACATGTACAATCTAAGCAATGTGTAGAAAAGGAAGGGAAGAGGAAAGCTAATAGTAATAGTGTATTTAGATAGTATAAATAGTGTATTTATATAGTATTTATAACTATGCACATATTTTATTTTAGCATGGTTGGCCACCTGTAAACGAGCCTTTGGTGTGGGGAAACAACATTTCGTGTCTCTGTAGCAAGTATATATATATACAAGGTGTTTATTTGCCTAGAATCTCAAGTGCTTTGAGACTCCTTGATTGAAGAACTGGCTGTGCCAAATCATCTGGGCATCAAAGGGTTGAAGGGGTTATTTTTGTAGGTGGAGAAAATACAGAGAACTGGATGGTAGAGAAACCCTTATTTGTTAAACTTCCCACCAAGCAGAACTGCCACTGCAATCCAACAGAGTCGTGACAGGTATTATAACTGTGATATCAAGTTGTCACTGTTCAAGCTGATTGGAAACAAGGAAAGGAAGAGAATTATCATTCAAAGCTCTGCCTGACCTACGGCTTTTTGATGGTGCTCCCATTTTTCCATGGGAATTGGAAAGACTCATCACCTTAGAACTATCTTGGCTGCTGCTCTTCTAGGCTGGCATTCTTTCATTTGATTTCACACTCCTGGTCTCAGGAAGCTCATGGAAGTACGTGACTGGCCCGGCAATATTGGACATTGTGCTTATATAGGAATCACTCAGTGGGCTTCTCCCACCTTCACTGTTTGACGTCTCCAAGAGTTATCACCTGTATCCACTTCACAGAGCTCTCTGTTGCTAAGTAGCCAGCTCCCCTTCCTAAGGGGAGAAGGGAGAGCAGGAAATTGGTCCAAGACTGGGGTCAGCGTGCTGATGACAAGAAAAATTCCAGGTTTCTCAGGGATTTCAGTCCCATCTTAAAAGGAAACCCTTTTGACTCACTGCCTGCTTCACTTACCCACCTTCTGAAAGAGAATAGCAACTCTGAGCTGTGACAAGAAGCTGAGTTTTCCCTGCCTTTTTTTTCAGCAGATAAGAAAAGGGCAACAGAAAGAACACAAGGCAGCATCCCAAGTCTTTCTGCTCTTCTGTCCTCCTCCCTCAATGCTTGAAACCTCACCCAGCAGAAGCAAGGAGCACAGGAAGGATGGGAAGGATGGGAGATTGGCATTTTGGGGTCAGAACTGGGGAATGATTGATTGCGAGATAGACTTAGAAGTGAGAACCACTACAGCAAAGGAAAGCTGGAGTTACATACCTTCTTTGTGATGAAGTCTGGAAGAAGTGGCTAAACTAATTGCTATATATGCACACAAGTGGTGGAAAGGAAAAGTGATACCAAGAGGTCAAATTTCAAAATGCAGACAAAAATTGTGTGCAGTCATTAAAAAAATCTATAATTTGGCAGCAAATCACATTGATTTGGCTTCTGAGATATAATTTCTGAACTATTGTTTTTAGCACTAATGGTACCATGAATTCCCCCTCATGCTTCTGGCTTTCTTCTCTCTCAAATTCTCCTTCCAATGTAGCCATATTCATAGGATATCAGAAAGCTCATTTCTCATGTGGGTATAAAGATTACCTTGAATCACCAGAGAAAAGTGTAAGGGCAAACTACTTTTTTTTTAAAAAAAGGTGTAAGGTAAACCTACTCTGGCTTCTTTTTGTAGTCAAAGAGAATCAACTTGTCAAATCTTTGAGAGCTGCTACTCAATTCTAGGAAACAAGACTTAAGACTTTTTACCACCTTTTGGTAAATAAACCAGATTACACCAAAAATGTCTGACACAAACAATTTCTCTTTTTAACAGAAAAAACTTGTTAAGAATGCAAATACCAAATAACCACTTGGGCTGCAGGACAACAGCTCTGTCAATTTCATATCCTTAGGGAGTTAGTATATTTCTGCTTTTCCTGTTTGTACTGTTTCAGAGCTGTAGAAAGAAAAAGTGGATTTTTGCTAAATCTAGCAAAAGATAGTAATTTCATATTACATCAAATTCTGTGTATCACTTTTCCCACCTAGTACTTTGCTGGGAAAAAAGTTTATTCCAATTATTCTACAGTTTCAAACAAATTCTGCAGGGGACTAGGAGCCTGACAAAAATAACAATAACAGCATATTGTACTATAGTAGTAACAACAGCAAGTGAAGGGAGTATTTTC